TGGTACACCACGATGCTATATGTGAACAATAAAGATTGTTTCAAAAATTTAAAAAGCTCAGAAGTTGCTAGCTAATTTTTTTCTTCTATTTTGTCTCATTTGTCTCTAATCTCTTATTTGAAGTTTAGATGATAGTTCTGAATTTTGGCCTTTGCACCATACTTGTATTGAAGGACGATCTACTGGTTTTTCAAACCACAAAATTTTATGCTATATGTTGAAGAGTAGAAGGAAATTTTTTTTTCCCAATACGTAGTCCCGTGACCTTGTCATCATCATTTCTTGTTTGCGTCTTCTTTTTCCTTAGCCCTTCCCACCTTTTTCCCCCAAATTAGCCTGAAATTTAAATGGAAAATAGCTCAAAAAGAACTCTGCTCAAACTCAAATATGAAAAAGACTACATTTTCTGCAAAATTTCCTCCAGAAATTGAGCTGATGTATCATACCTACTTGCAAATGATCTTCAATTAAAAGGATAAGCGGTAACATTGGCTCTTGAACTTTATTCTCCAACTAGTTATTAGAAAGCTTATTATAATCCCACCTGATGAAACCCTTCTTCCCATCCAAAAAACTTATTAAAACATAACGGTCCAGCGTTCTTCAACCCCCTGTTACAAAATCGAATTTTGTCATAAAAGTCGAGCCATCTTAATTTGATGAACCAAGATAGCCAGCCTGAGGTGAACTTTCAATTCTGGAAGAAGACTGCTCTTTTAGGAACCAATTGAGAAAAATTAAAGGTGAGGAGAAAATAATTTCAAAACTTAAACTTTTATTTATTTGTTTGTTTTATATTTTATTTAGAGTTAAATTACATCTATGCCCTCATCTTCTCGGCTGCTAACACCAACAGCCTGAGGCGAACTTTCAATTCTGGAAGAAGACTGCTCTTTTAGGAACCAATTGAGAAAAATTAAAGGTGAGGAGAAAATAATTTCAAAACTTAAACTTTTATTTATTTGTTTGTTTTATATTTTATTTAGAGTTAAATTACATCTATGCCCTCATCTTCTCGGCTGCTAACACCTACAAAATGACACATGATCATTACGTCCACTGATACACCGTTAGTTTTTTGGTTTCCATCAACATTTTCACTTAGGTGGAACAATTTTTGAAATTTAAGAATTAAAGTATTCCATTTCAAAGTTCAGATACCAAAGTGAGATAATGCGTAAAATTTGCGGACAAAGTAAAGTTAGCCCTTTAGTTATCAATAGTGGAAAATGTTGTAGTAATTATCATTATGCTAACTAAAAGTTTTTACTTGATATAACAGGTTATTATACTTTTAGCGACCATTTGATTACTTGTTGGATCTATCCACCTAAATAGGATAATGTCTAAATATAAGGAAGTAAGTTTCTCATCTAAAATAGTAAGTTAACGGTAATAATTAGTAACTTTTGTGTTTCAAAAGGTAAATTGGAATAAATATAAAACTTACTTTTTAAAGAGATAAATTACTATTTTATATCTCAAACATACTTTTGAGGGAGTAAGTTTAGTTCAAGTAATAGTAAGTTTTTATACATAAATAGTAATTCTTATTTCTTACTTATAACATAGTAAATTTGATTAATGACCAAAACTTACTAATTTATGGCACAAATGTACTATTTTGCTTAAAAAACTTATACCAAATCAATACTAGAAAGTTTATTTGAAATAACAATAAAATGTTTTATTAATGATTAAAACTTAGTACCTTAGTTAGTAAGTACTCGTAATATACTTGTATAATACATGATTATATGTACAATTTAAAATTTTTTTGTATTTATATATTTTAAAATACTATGAAAATATTTTGACCTTTCACATAACCTTATAAAATAATAAAATTTTGTTGTATTATAATTTTGAATATTTTTTGAAAAGTTTAAAAGTTTGGATAATAATAACAACACATCTTCCTAGTTATATATGGAATATCACTTATCTATGTAATTTCTATAATTTAAAACCTATTAATATAATAAGATGATAAAGTTTTAATATATTTATTGTCTGGGACACAAGAAATAATAAGAATTAAACTGGTATTAATATAGACCTAACAAAATGAGAGAAATAGTGTAACAATTAATACAAAAATAAAAATAACAAAATTAGTATAACAAAATTAGTATAATCTGGAATTTTTTTCTCTAGAGATTGTTCACGAATATAAGATCCAACCACTAAACAAAAATCACATGCATATATGATCTATTGTATAATTTAAATTAAATTTAGTTCATGTACAAAATGATCCTAAAATAATTAGCACACTATAATACCATATTATTTTAACAACAAAAAATTTTTTTTTTGCCAAAAGTCTCCAATATCCATGATATATGTATTAGAGATATTTTACCATATTTTTATCTCTTTTTTTCCCATATTTGTATCTCATGTCTAATCATTGATGTTAATTTGAGGAAGAATATTTTTTATAATAAAATCATTTTAAATTTAATTAACAAGTTGAGATTTTTTTAAAAAATAAAAGTGAATTATTTTGGGAACTTATTTTTTATTTTCCCAAAATTAAAAGATTGCTATTTTTTACCAATTGTTGCCATTAACATTTCATTTTCTAGACTAATTTTATCAATGTAAAATTAGTTTAGTTAACAATAATTGAAGTTCTGTTGGTCCAAGGATTGGCATGCTATTGTTGTTATTTTACATGTAAATATATAACCTAAGTAATAAAATAAATAATAGCTACTAAGAAAAAGGAAATAGGTGCTCAATTGATTGCATTCAAACTATGAATTCTGTTAATGCATAATTGCTAAATTATATTTTTATTTATAAGAAATCAATACACATCATATATTGACCAGGACTAAATTACTGATTACTTAACAAATCATATCTAAACACATGATGTGATATATATTGCATTTGGTCACCTTTATACTTATACCATTTTCCTTTCTTTCTATTTTAAAGGTGCAAAATTCTCTTGATTATATTAGTGTAAATGCATAAAATCTTTTACAAAATTATTTCAATTTATTTACAAAATATTAGTACTTTTAGGAGAAGCAATGCATTGTAGGAATGGTTTACTAATTTTTTAGTAAACATAACTACTACATTAAAAAGTTAAAAAAAAAACTTGATTTTATTATGATTTAATTAGGAGTGCTTTTGAAGAGAAGAATTAGGGGTTCAATTTCGTGGATTCAAGAATTTTTAGAGATTGTAATTATCAAAAGAAAAAAGAATTTTTAGAGATTGTAACTCTCTTATTATTTGATTTAATAAATTTGATATTTGTGCAATTTTCATGTCTTTTATTTTCAGCAACAAAATTTGTGCTTACAGTTAGATACAAATATGGTAAAATATCCCTCGTATGTATGTCATGGATATTTGAGACTTCAGTAAAAAAAATTTTGTTGTTAAAATAACATTGTATCATAGTGCGCTAATTATTTTTTAACTGTTTTATACGTGAACTGAATTTAATTTAAATTATACAATATATTATATATGCAAGTAATTTTCATTTAATTGTTGGATCTTATTTTTATGAACAATCTCCCAAGGTAAAAAGTCCAGATCATACTGATTTTCTTATATTAACTATTATACTAATTTTGTCATTTTTATTGTTATACTATTTCTCATTTTGTTTGGGCTTTAACTCTTATTAATTCTTATGTACTAGATGTAAATTTATTAAAACTTTATCATCTTATTATATTCATAGGTGTTAAATTATAAAAATTGTGATATATAAACAAGTGATATTCTATATATATAACTAGGAAGATTTATTGTTATTATTATCCAAACTTTCAAACTTTTCAAAAATTGAAAATGATTAAAAACTTACAATATGACAAAATTTTATTACATATTTTACAAGGTTATCTGAAAAGTGAAACTGCTTTTCATAGTATTTTAAAATATATAAATACAAAAAAATTTTAAATTACACCTATAATCATTTATTATATAGGTATATTATGAGTACTTACTAAGGTACTAAGTTTTAATCATTAATAAAACATTTTATCATTATTTCAAATAAACTTCCTAATATTAGTTTGAGATAAGTTTTTAATGTAAAATTGTACATGTATTTCAAAAATCAGTAAGTTTTGATCACTAATCAAATTTACCATGTCATTAGTAAGAATTACTATTTATGTATAAAAACTTATTGTTATTTGAACTAAACTTACTCTCTAAAAAGTAAGTTTGGGATATAAAGTAGTAATTTTTTTATTTAAAAAGTAAGTTTAATCTTTATTCCAATTTACCTTTTGAGTTATAAAAATTACTAATCTATCAAGGTTAATTTACTATTTTAGATGAGAAACTTACTTCCATATTTTTAGGTGTTATCCTATTTAAGTGGATATGTCCAATAACTAATCAAATAGTCATTAAAAATGCAACAATCTGTTATATTAGGTAAAAACTATTTCGTTACCATAACTTTCGTTACTAAAATATTGTCCATCAATAATTATGCAATAAGTATAGGACAAATTATTGCGCCGATCACTACGCATGTCTTTTCCGTTAAATTTTTTATCGGGTGGATTTGAAATCTTCGGAGCTCCGAATGTTTCATGAGTGAGAAACGTGGTTGTCTCTTTAACCATATAGACTAAGGGCGGAAGCCCGGTGTCCACGTCGGCGTGGTCGTCCTCCAGTGTGTCGCCGGGTGATTGGTTGGCTGTTGATGACATGGATCTTGTCAGACATTGGTGGTGCCCGGTTGCTTCTTTGTTTGGTCAAACAGTAGAGTTGTTGTTTGGTAAAGGGTCGTTGGACTCAGAGATTAGTTAGTATTACGGTTGTAGCCCTCTGGCCTTCACCTATTTACACCCTTCCATCTATACAGGTTCGTTGTTTTAACAAGGGTGTGTTGGTAATGTGGCTTAGGCGTCAGTTTTGGTCATCCACTAACGTGTTCTCTTTCTTTTTTTGGGGGCAGAAACCCAGTGGATAGATTGACCTGTTATCAGAGTTTTTGGTGAGATTTGACTCTCGCATTGGGCTCGATGCTTCAGAGGAACGTCCTTTCCTCTCTCTCCGTCGATCGCCTCTCTCAATCATCATCTCTTCCTTTTTCTTTCTTCAGAAAGCCCTCATCTTCTCTTCGTTTTCATCTTTTCTTTACCTTTATCTTCTAATCTAATCAAACCCTGAAGAAATGATGAAGAGAAAAAAATGGTTCCATATTTTGCTTGGAGGTTTGTTGGCTTGAAAAAAAATAAGAAACAGTTTGTTTTCTCTTTCAATTTTTTCATCATTGTCTCTCTTTTCCTTATCTTTCTCTTCAATTATCCGCTCATCTCTCTCATCTTCTTCGTCATTTTTTTTTCTTTCCGATTTTGATTGAGAACAACAACAACAACGAGGATGGTTGGGATTTTTTTGGGTTTCTGATCTCTTCTTCTTTCTCTCTCTAGCCTTTTAGATCTTTTTTTTGTGGGGGTTTAGCAGTCAAATTTTTATATATTAATTTGTATATATCTTTGATGTTGTAGGTGCAAAAAAAATGGAACTGTCTTTTAGCATCCAGCATCGCGATGAAAGTGAGTTTGTTTTTCTATTTCCTTCCTAAGTTATTGCCTGATTTTTGAGCAACTGGTCATGGAATGTATATGTTAAAGAGCTTTCAGGTTAGAGTTTGGGATCCAAAGAAGCCCTTACTGTCAAGATTTTGCATAAATCCTATGGTTAGAATTTTGGAACCCCATCTCGTGTCTTGATGTTTTATATGGGTTATTTGGAGAAGCAAAAGTCAGAGTTTTTTACTTTTCTTTCTCTCTTTAGAAAGGAAACCCCTTTTTCCCATTTTCTTGCCTAAGGACTACTTCTCAGTGAAGCAAAATGAACTCATTCTGTACACGAGAACCTTTTGACCCTTGTTATACAAAAGACTCTAGAGTTAAATCTGACAGCAATTGCTATCAACTCATTCATCATGGCTGCTTTTGGCTGTATAGCTCCATCCCAGCTCTCTCTTCCCATCCCTTTCTTCATCTGTGCATGTCTTTTTTATTGGAATTGTGAGATTGCAAGTAAAGGAGTTTTCTGTAACTTTTCTAACAGGAACATTGGCAACCAAATATGAGAAACTTGGCGGTAAAGTGAAATGGATGGGCAAGCCTGATAAGGTAATCTAATTCAGCCGGATCTAAATGTTCAGGAGTTCCTCCATTCAATCATCTTTCCACTTGTTTATGTGGAGGTTTTTTTTTTAATCAATGCAAGCATTTTTGAGATGGCTGCAGCATACATTGGGTTAACTTGAATGCTGAACAATGCTCAGAAGCAGAACAACTGAGTAGATCTGCTTTTGTCTGGAAACGTTTGAACTTATTATATTCTACTCAGAGTGCAAATTATTAGGCCTTTATTAGTTTCTTTACCATTATTTGTACTGATAGCTATTATTACTCAAAAGTTCATTCATGAAATTTTGTTGCATATACTTTTTCAGAAATTTTAAATTAAGCAAGCTGATTAATTTGAACCATAGCAGGATAGTAAGTAATCTGGGTGAATGTCAGAGAATATTTTGGAGTTTTCATTTTTTTATTGACCCTATCGAAGAAGTAGAGAACAACAAAAGTGATGAAGTAGAGGGGTGAGAGCGAGTGAATCAAGGCTATTTCCTTGAATTGTTACCGTGATATATTCTAAATGCATTTACTGCTTTCCCTTCCTCTCTAATTCTCATCTAACCTTGCCTATTAGTTAGTTAATGCGTCATGTTTAGTGGTATCACCATCTGAAACATCCTTCCTGACATTAAGAAAATTGAACATGTTATATGACTTGGAAATTGTAGTTTTTCCATAATCTAAGATTTTCACATGGTCTTTGGGGTTTTGATTTGAGACAATTATCAGAGAAATATCATACAGTGCCAATTTGGTCTCTTTTTTGCTAAAAAAGTTTCATGTTATTCTTTTTAATTGTCAATTTTTCTTTGTGTCTGAATCTGATTTCAAAGTGCTAATCCATGTATGGTCAATTCATGTCAGATCATCTATAAAGCAGCTGCGGAAATGGCTGCTATAGATCCTTCACAGTGTGTTGCCATTGGAGATTCTCTGTACCATGACATAAAAGGTGCAAATGCCACTGGTATCTCATCAGCATTTATCACTGGTGGGATCCATGCGACTGAACTTGGACTTGATACCTTCGGAGAAATTGCTGATGATTCTTCTGTGGTTGCTCTTGCCTTAAGACATGATGCTTATCCATCATATGTGTTGCCTTCATTCAATTGGTAGTCTGATGGTGAGCTTTCTTTTTTCATACAAGAAAATAATGTTTCTGTTGCAAAATGTATCTTGATCCTTTAATTCTAGTGGACTGTCATCTTAAAAGATGGCCAGACGTTGTGCCAAAATGGTATAAATACTGAGTACGTGAATTAGGAACCTTTAGGAAATTTGGGATTATATAATTTTAGGTTACGAGTCCTGGTTTGAAAGGAGACAAGTAATTAGCCCAAATTTGAGCAAGTACCTTTAGTTGGGTACCCAAATAAGCTCCATTAGTTGTTCAAAAATGTTATAGGCTATAATCAACGTTTAAATTTCTTGCTCTGATGTATTCACCCTGTGTTACAACTGCCATGACTATTCTTACATCATTGGCCGAGCTTGCTGTACCTCTGTCTGCGCATATATTATTGACTGGCGTGATTGCGTATCCGTTGATAAAGTGAGATCTTTTTATTCTATTTGCAGGTTTGAGAATAGAGGTTCTACTGATGCCATTGCTAATGTTCCATTTTCTATAGCACCCTTTGTAGCTACGGCGCCAGCTTTTAAGTTACCGTTCAAGGAGCCATCATCGTGCTTTTCATCTTTGTTTTGTTGTGATCAGTTGTCTCAACTACAGCAATGTATGAGAAAGCTGCTTATTTCTTGGTAGCTAATGGGTTCTAGGTTACAAGCAATGGGTGGTAATATAGTTTTAATTTAATGACTGTATGTTCTGGGTGACAGGGTGATCAGCTCATTAGCAGACTTGTCTTTACTAAAAAGTTCAGAAATACAAATTGCTCAATTTCAGAATGCTACTTGCAGACAAGAAAATAATGATGCAAACAAGAGATTTTTTGGTGCAGTCAAGTTATGCATTTCTTCTACTAAGAGTTCGTTTCACTGAATTTCTGCTTGTGAGAAAGAGATGGGAAAAAATTGTCACTTTCTATTTTCTTGTATTTTTTTGTTAACTAATATGCTCCAAGAGATCTAGGATCTTTCAGAACAATTTGAAGTGTCGTTTTATGTATTTGTATGAATTGATTTATTGTGTTTTCATTTGTTTATTTGTTATTGTTAGGGTATAAATGAAGAATTAATAGGCGAATTTGACGGTAAATTTGTAGGTTTGGAGGGAAAGGATACAATAGAGAAAAATGAAAGCTTCCCAGAATATCATACCCAAGGGTTCTCTCTCTCTCTCTCTCTCTCAGTGTCCGTTTTTATCTGTTAAATCCACTTTTGATTAATTAAGTTTCAACTATGACTTTTTTTTACTGCAAATATCCTTATGTTAGTATAATTTGCTTTAAATTACTGGTAGTTTAAATTGCTTGGAGTATAATTTTTTTGTATTGAAAAATTTTGAAGTAAGTGATCTTACTTGATGGTCAAAGTAGAACCATACGAGGCCCTGCTGGGATTATTATCAATGGTTTCTTACTACAAACATATTTTTTTTAAGTGTACAATGTTGAGGACTCTTAAATGATAGGGAAGGTGGGTATATGATTTCTGAGGTATAAAAATTGCTAATGAGTCAGGAAATCCTGAAACAAGGTCTCTGACCCTAGGCTTGAGAAATCTTGAAGGTTTCTGAACCTCCCTGTTTGGCTTGCCTCTCCATGTTCTGTAATTTTGTTTTTCAGAATTAGTTATTTGTATCATTTTAATTTGTCGGTTTATTCCTAATACCAACTTACTATTCTTGTTCCATGTTTTTCCTTCTCATTTTACTTGAAATCTATGCTCTTTTTTTCACATGTAAATGCATATTTTTCCTTGGCATCGTTAACGCAATATTTTGTGTTGTCTCTTTCTTTTTGGCCGCTTGGCAAATTGATTCGATAATATTCTTAAATCTTAACTGAATTCTTTCTGCATTTAGAAGCTTGATTTTATTTTCTTAAATTTGTTTTCTAACAACCTTCCATTCTTTGTTTGCTCCCTGCATAATCAAATGCCGTTTATTTTTATATGATATTGTGGATTTTTTTAATTCTTCTTTTTCCTTTGCTTGCATATAGTTTTGGGATAATTTGTTGTTTATACATTTTCCCCTTTCCTTGCTTTGTTTGTCAAACCTGTCATTCTATAATTCTTTAGGGGCCTATTATTGCTTGTAAATGATGGGTTGTCCTGACTACTTGATGTGTATTGTGTATAAATTTGTATTTAATTGTCTGTGAAGATGGCAACTTATGTGCCGTAACCTATTTTTGTTTAGTGGTTTTGTTATTCTGTTTTATTTACTTTAAAATCTCACATGAAAAATGCTTCTTTACTAAAGTGAACAATTCTGATTCGTACACAACTTTTAGGATATTTCTAAATTGTTGAGTCTTGCATCTGTTAGTAGCTTATATTTCCAAAATGCAAAACTTTTATGTGTTTTTATTTGTGGATTTAGGTACTTCTTCAAACACTGCATTTGGTAAACCTCTCTTCTGCACTCCTTCGAGAAGTAATAGCTGGTGTTAACAGGTATGCTTTGTTATTCAATCGTTCTTTTTCTTGTGTTTCACTTTGACATCTCAGTGGCTTTTTTTTCTTAAATTAAAAGTGGATTAAAATCTTGGAGGTTTCGCCATACCCAAGGGACGGAGAGTATTATTTTGGATTATAAGTGTTTACTTAGGCCTCAAGAACCCCAAGATTTTAAGTCTTCGAGGCTAGAAATCTTTGTATTCACTTGAGAGGTTGGATGCCTCCCTTCCACTTCATTCGTGACTTCTTGTACTAAGGCATGAATTTGGGTCTCATATATATTTGTCCAGCTTATATTTCCAGAATGCAACAACTTTTATGTGGTTTTGTTTGTGCGTTTTAGGTCATTCAAACGCTACATTTTACTAAGGCATGTACAATTGTTTCCTTCTTTTTACTTTGTTTAGTCCAAAGCCTCTGTCTCGCCGAGCTCTTCGCTAAGACGCGCTTCTATAATGCTTTTCTTATTTGCTTTAGCTGGATGACTAGAGATGACAGTTGATAGTGGTGGCTTGCCTTTCACTTTTATCCTAAATTGACCAAAGACACGTCTCACCAGGAGGGAATCTGCTTGGATTATTCTCACCAGTTTTAATGCTACTTAAGTTTGTTGTATGTTTAGCCTTTTTCTCCTTAATTAGGTATGTTTAGTCTTTTGATGTATTGTTGTTTAATTTATGTTTCTTTTACCATGAGATCCTTGTAATTTTGTAGTCTTTAAATTTTTATGAAAATTTTCATTTATTGCACATTATTTAATATTTGATTTGAAATTCATTTGTTAGCTTGCTTATATGCAGTTTCAATGTATTGATGTATTCAAATTTTGGTTCATAGCTTGTTTTCTTCAACATGTATATAAAAGGGGGAATGCAATGCCTCAAGAGGGTGCTTGTGTTGCTGACGCCGCAACATGTGATTGGTTGGAGAGTGTTCGTCCAAGCCTTTCTTAGGTTCCCATTTCATTTACTTTTTCATTCTTTTTAAACGCAGATGTGATTGATTGAAGAAGGTCACTTGCTCTCCCATTTCTTTTCCTTGTTCATCGCCATTCTCCTCTCTCTCTAAGCCCATCTCTCTGTTTTCTTCTTCATTTTCCTAAATGCCCCCAAAGCCCTTCTATCTCTTTTCTTCTCCATAACCGGCAACATCAGGACCAAAACAGATGGTATTTTTTTTCCTTTCCCTCCCTAAATTTCTCTAGCCTTTTGTGTTTCTTTTTAGCTTTAGTTGTCTAATCTAATCTAATCTAATTGGTATATATTTTTGATATTGCAGGTGAAAATTTTCGAATCTTTTCCAGCATTCTTGTGAGACTCTGAGATTTTTTCGCTTTTTTTTAATTGGGTTCTAAAACACGTGGTTAGCTTTGCTCCTTTTTTTCCCCTTTCTTTTGCCTTGTATTCTTCCTTTTTTTGACATATTTGTATCTTGATTTTGCTATTGGCCAAAAAGCATTAAAAAGGATTTAATAAATTTTAGAAAGTTTCTTTGAACTTTTCCCGATCTAATGCCTTTATAAGAAATTGTATCTTGATTTTGCTCTTTCCCAAAAAAACATTAAAAAGGATTTACTAACAAATTTTATAAGTTTTTTGGACCCACGTAGTAGTTCCAGAAACCCTATCTCGACATCATCTCCTTCAAATCCCAAAGGGTTGCCGTCTCTTCTCTCGCCGATCCCTTCTCGCTCTCCAAAACAAGGAGTATGGTTGGAAGAATTAAATCCAAAAACAAGGAAATCTGATTTTCTGTCCATGCTTTCTTGAGAAACCGAGGCTGTCAAGAGAAGATCATTATCAAGAAAAATTGTATGTGATTTTGCTTCTTTCAGTTTCATTCTTCCAGATCTCAGTTTTTTCACTATTTTTTTACACGCATTTTTAATAGTTCTCCTGTTACTTATTTGTCCTTTTTTCCCTGGCCTTCTACAGCACCTGTACAAACTTATGTGATTTTCTATTATGTATGGGAAAATTGCTTGGTGTATTTTTTGGTTGTTTTGGATTCATGGGTTGTTCAAAGCACAATGTCTTTGGCTAAAAACTTCGTAATTATTTCTGTGTAACATTTTATAACCTTCTTTTTTTCTATTTGTTTCCATTTTGCATATGAACAATCTATTTTTGCTCATATTTATTGTTGTTCACTTTTTGGGTTGAATTTTATAGGGGTAATGCTTTGTTTTGTATCAGTCAGTCTAAGCCCAAGCTTTGGGCTTTTAGCATAGTTCAGCTTTGGACAGGTAAGCTGTTACACTTTATTTAGCAAAATATCTTAGTCAAATGGATGTGCTTGTATACTAATAATTAGTAGATACCTCTGTTGATTAAGAGAAAATGATTAAGTTTCTGTTGATTATCTTTTCTGCTATTTAACTTGCAAACGGTTTCTTTGTGTCCTTATTTAGCATTAAATTAGATGGACACCGGGCTCTTCATGATGGAATTAGGTATTAAATTTATCGACATATAATAAAGCAAATAATGGCCTTCTACTACTTTTAAAGTGCTGATTGTAACCTTTTTTATTTCACCTTTCGTTTTAATATATATAACTATCTCTATGAATGGAAATTTTTTTTACAACGGTGTCTGTATTGTGTATATAATAATGTAATGGAAAATTGTGTATTTGTAGTTATTGCATGTTTTATATTGTAATTGAAGATTGTTCATTTATTATTTGGCTACACTGGTGCAGTATGCCCCAACCTATGAATTGTACAAAAACCTTTGCCCCATACTTTTGCCTTCAGGGATAATTATATGGAAAAAGCTTGTCTGGCATATAGGTGCATAGATAGACACAGATGTTGATGTTCCTGTAAGTGAAAAAAGTTAGCTTAAAATGGGAGGGCTAATGATAAAAGAAAAAAAAAACTATGATATACTTTTGGAAAATATGGTAATTGCTGCTAATATTTAACCGTATAAAGTGGATTTTTGCAGTACCACTCAAGAATGCTTCTGCCATCTGATTAGCAAAACTACGTGTTTAGTTATGTAGGAAGCAGAATCGGCCATCCTTGAAGCATTATCAAGATCAAAGCCTGGAACCGTATGACCCTGGATACTAGATTTTGCACTAACAGTAGCTATGTGATCTCTGTATTACCTACTATAAATGTATATCAGCTCTTGATGCTTTATATCTCACGTGGATGGTGTTATCATGATATTTTTGTTTGGTTTGAAATCTTGTACAACTTGGTCAGTTATTTTGTACCAAGAGTTTCCATTCCTTTTGCTACTGATGTATTCAGAGGATAGAATTGTGGCCTATATTAATAATCCTCCTCCTTTTTTGGTCAAATGCAATTTATCCCACTAAAGGTGATATGTAAGCAGAGTTTCTTTTCATCGAATTTCTTGAAGTTACAGGCTAATGAAAACCTTTTTGGTTATTGTACTACACAGTAATGTGTTTTTTGGTCCTTGGATTAGTTTGAAGTGTAAGATTCTAATAACAAGGAAAAGCCTTGATGCAACACTACACTCTGCATTTTTTTTTCTTCCGGAACAGGTTTGATATGTGATGAGAACCTCTGAACTGCGGTCTACTGGTCTCAAGTTTCATAAATGTACATTATCTCATGCACTCATCTTTCCTTTTATGGGATTCTAGCTGTTGACGTCCATCCAATGATCAAGGGTAGAATTGCATCCAGGCTTGTGTAACTTCCTTTTTCCTTTTTTTGTGTGTGTTAAGTAGTTGACCATCCCCTATGCTATTGATGTATTGACAGGATACATCCTGCATTAGTAATCCTCCTTCGTTTTTGGTCAAATGCAGTTTATCTCACTAAGGTTGATATGTAATTACGAAAACAGGTGATTGGTTGTATCACATTCTAATAACAAGGCCAAGCCTTGATGCAATACTACATTGGGCTGTTTTTTTTTTTTTTCATTTTGAGCTACAAAGTCACAGCTTTTTGTGTACATAAAAAATGTAAGGCAGCATTATACGGTGATATATTATTTTGTTTGCTTTACATATTTACAATGCCCGTATAATTACACCTTTCCAGTACAACTGATTTTTCGCTCATATTCCTATATAATATAGCTCCATTTTGTGCTGCTAATTTTCATTCTCCCCTATATTACTAGCTAAACGTTAACTGGGCATGTATACCACCGCGCATAGCGCGATGTTACCACCTAGTTTAGACTAAAGTACGATGCTTTGCACGTCTTCGAGTGTCTCCTCCTCTTTAGGAAGCTTGGTTACAATTGGCTGCGAGAATCTGTGAACCTGCACAGACATATTTATTATTTGATCTCTTCCACAAGGGATTCTGTATAAAGCAAAAATCTTGGAATAAAACTTTTTCCTTGTTTGGTGTCCTATTGCTGTGACTCTAGTTCAGAGGACTGATGGGCTTTTGCGCGTACAATAATTGCAGGTGAGGGAACCGGATGCTAAGGATTCCTTTTTTTTGTTTTTTCAATTAAATAAGCAATGCTGAAACACAATAATGGTTGGTGTAAAACGCAGGCTGGGCCAGCCACTAGTAACCTTCTATGCATGAATAATCAAATCATGACTGCAAACTTCACCAACCATTACGTAAGACCGCACTTACTCCCGGTCCGGTCCAGTGTTGGACAATTCGTCGACTTCTGCTAACAAAGTCTTCGGTCTAGTCTTGGAAGGTTGTAGGTCCAAGATTAATTAAAGCTACATGGCGTAGAGTCATGTAGCTTTGACTAAGGCTTTTAAGACAATTAACGTTTGCTTGACGCACGTTGGAAACTAAGTAAACTTCTTGTCGTAACAAGAAGGTGTGTGAGACATTATTACAACGCTAGATAATAAGATAAATAGGCTACAAAATTGAGAAGGATTTGGCAATTGGCATCCAAGTCTTTAGTCATGTCATCCAAACTAGTAACAGCTATCTTAGCCAATTTTGTAGTAGTTCACATAGGAGTTGGTGTTGGTGCAGCAGCTTCTAACGATTTTGGGTTCATCTATCAAGGATTTCAATCATCAAATCTAAGTCTGGATGGATTAGCCACGGTCACCAAAAATGGCCTCCTAAGGATAACCAACACCACCAAATTACAAACGGGGCACGCCTTCTATCCTAATCCCCTCAAATTCAAGACAAAATCTAATAGTTCAGCTTTCTCCTTTTCCACCCAATTTGTGTTTGCTATCGTGGCTGAAGTACCAGGCATGCCTGGTCCGGGAATGGCTTTCGTGATTGCGCCAACAAGAGGCCTTGCAGAAGGGCCCTCCACTCGTTTCCTCGGCCTCTTCAACACAAGCACCGATGGAAATCGAACAAATCACGTTTTTGCGGTGGAGCTTGACACTATCCAAAACCCAGATTTTGAAGATATCAATGACAACCATGTTGGTATTGATATTAACTCTATGACCTCCAAGGTATCCCAGCCAGCAAGTTACCAGGCTAATAACAAGAATTTATTTGACAACTTAACTCTTAGCAGCGGTCAAGAGATGCAACTTTGGGTCGAATACGACGGGGTGGCGAGGAGAATCGATGTTACATTAGCTCCAGTAGCGGCATCTAAACCACATACTCCTCTTTTGTCTTTGACATATGATCTTTCGCCAATTTTTCAGCAAAGCATGTATGTTGGCTTTTCTGCAGCCACTAGTCCACGCGACATAGGATCATCTCATTTTATACTTGGATGGAGCTTCAGGATGAATGGCGTTGCGCAGGCTCTTGATCTCTCTCGGCTCCCCAAGCTACCTCGGTTTGGACATAAGAAAGTATCTGAAATTTTCACTGTGGGATTGCCCCTGATTTGCATGCTTTTCTTGTTAATACTAATATCCGGAGTAGCTTATTATCTAAGCAGGAAGTGGAAGTTTGCAGAAGTGCTGGAAGAATGGGAGCTTGCTTATGGACCTCACAGGTTCAAGTATAAAGATTTATACATTGCCACCAAGGGGTTCAGAGAAAAGGAGATGTTGGGGGAAGGCGGATTTGGAAGGGTCTACAAAGGCGTTCTGCCAACAAGCAAGGTTGAGGTTGCTATCAAGAAGGTCTCTCATCAAGCAAGACAGGGAATGAGAGAATTTATTGCAGAAATCGTCAGTATTGGTCGCTTACGCCATAGAAATTTAGTACCACTCTTGGGTTATTGTCGGCGTAAAGGAGAGTTACTTTTGGTATACGAGTTCATGTCCAATGGTAGTCTAGACAAGTTTTTGTACAACCAACCCAAGTATATCCTCAGCTGGAGCCAAAGATTGCGAGTCACCAAAGGTGTAGCATCCGGATTATTCTATCTACACGAAGAATGGGAGCAAGTAGTGATCCACCGAGATGCGAAAGCAAGTAATGTATTGTTAGATAGTGAACTGAATGGAAGATTAGGAGATTTCGGCCTGGCAAGGCTATACGATCATGGAACCCTCCCTCAATCCACCCATGTAGCGGGATCTCTTGGCTACCTTGCTCCTGAGCATAGCAGGACAGGGAGGGCCACAACAAGCACTGATGTATATGCTTTTGGGGCCTTTTTGCTGGAGGTTGCCTGCGGAAGAAGGCCAATAGAACCCCAAGCAGCACCAGAAGAGGTCATTTTGGTTGATTGGGTATTTTCGTGCTGGAAAGCAGGCAATATTCTCCAGGCGGTTGATCAAAAGTTGGGTACTGAGTTTGTGAAAGAGGAAGCAGACTTGGTGTTGAAACTAGGCTTGTTATGCTCTCATTCAGAACCAAAGATTAGGCCGAGTATGAGGCAAATTCTGTTGTACTTGGAGGGATCAGTTGCCTTGCCAGATTTATCATCACTAGCCATGGGCGTTTCTGCTGTTGGTCTTGGCTTCGCCCATCCTGCTGGCTTTGAAGACATTTTATCGTCATTTGCTTTTTCCACAGACAAACGTTTTTCACATTCTGTGGCAGACTCTACTCTCTCTGGTGGTCGGCACTTAAGATGCTCATCATTCTGATTTTGTAAATTTAAAAAAAAAGAAAAAAGAAAAAGGAAAAAAGCGCTTCTACTACAGTAATTATTTTGTTGAATGCATTTTTCTGACATATGAGCACTAAATTTTGTATCAGATGCTAGAACATGTTTTGTGGTTTGTACCAGGGGATACTGGATTAACAGGACCGAGAGCGAGGCCTTTGAGTGGGGGAAGATATTTTCGAGATTTGACGACCTGGGACTGGACCTGCAACATTTCTTTCATGCCTCAAGTTTTCGGAATCTTATGGCCCGAAGACTTTTCTAAGTCTGTACGATAATTTAATTTAATTTTTAAATTTAATAAATTCAAATCTTAATATATTTAAATCGTTTGATAATGAAAAATTAAATATTTAAATTTATTAAGTGATATTGAATTTTTTGGATAAAATTTGTTTCCAAAATTAAGTGATAATTATTCATTTATCACTAAATATGATATACATTTAAATGTATTAGATTTAATGTTTAACAATTCAATAATTTAATAGATTCAAATTTTAAACTTCAGTTTTATCAAACGCATCCTTAGTAAATGAAACAAAGAGTTGTCTACAGCTTCCGTGATCCGTAAGACATAGGAACATGACATGCTTTGTAACAAATGTTTAAACTTTTTTTTTTTCATTATTATACTGTGAGTGGAAAGATTTGAAGCCGAATTTTCTTACTTAAATTCTCTTCTTTGAGCCAACCAACTCGTTTCTCCTCCAAGGGGTACATTCAAATTAGTGATGAGCTTGTTAGGGCTCGAGGGTTTCTACAATTGTTGGCCATAGGCTGGTTGCTTAAGCAATGTCTAAGCTAGGAGCCTAGGAGTGAGCTGCTCCCGAGTTCTGAAAAATTTCCATTAGCCTGTTAGAGATTTTGGAAATTTTTATTAAGAGTCTTTCTCTCGATGCTCCCACCCCCCCCCCCTCCCCCAACACCACCAAATTTGAACTTTTGTTCTTTAAATATTTTTAACCTTGCTAGTTAGTTAATTGATCTATAAGATACAACTTGTTATTAATCATTTTAGCATTACATATTAACTTGTTAAAACTTTATCTATTACGTCAAGAAAAATTAATTCAAACTTAAACTGTGTACACCTTTCAAATAATCATTTCATTATAATTTTCAGCTTTAGGGTACGAGATTCAAATAATCACTTCAGTTTTAGGGTATGAGATTTTCAATTCAAGCACTTG